CGCTCGTGTTGCGTTGCACAAAGTTGAGGACCTTGTAGCCGACAGGGCCCGTGCGCTGAATGAAGCTCGAGTACTCTTTTGGCAAGATAGATGGCCGCATGATAAACGTGTACATGACCTAGTGCCAGCCTTAGCTGAAACAAACGGAGCCAAGTGCACCTGGGCGGACGTGAGACCGAAGAGCAACGAGTCACCGTGGGCCCACTTGCTGCCCCAAAAGTGCCACACGTCGCGGGACTTGGCGCTGTTGTAGAGGCACTGAAGCGCTCGCGCAAGTGCATAGAGCGCCAGCGACCGACGACTAATCTGGTGTGTCAGACGACAGACAATCGAAGCGATGTGGGATGTTGTACCGCTCTGGCTCGACAAACACGACAGCCGAGCCTGCCAGCGTCCCCGCCAGCGCCGTCGTCATGGGATCTTCGCCGAGAGCCTCCGAGTTTTCTTTGCCGTGGCGCAGACGCCGAATAATTGCCTTGAGCGCTTGGTAGCCGCCGGTAAACCAGCCGATGAAGAGCCCCATCGAGACGGCCTCGACCCGAAAGCTGAGGTGTTTCTCGCTCAGTAGCACCTTGAGGTTGGCGATGGCTTTAAACTGTCTACGATCGATGGTCCTTCTCGCGCCTTCTTTACCCAACGTAGTACCTCTTTTGCAAGAGCAGCACGATGCGCACCAGCACGGCGATGCCGGCGCGAACGTTGTAGGCGAGGATGAAATTGGACGCACCCGTCTGCGCCGCAGCAGCGAGCTCTCGGAAAAGCGGCTGCTTCTCCTTCGTCGACTCGGACGTCTCGGAGGCCATCGAGACCATCGACGCGGACGGCGTCAGCAGACTCGTAGCCGCCATATCGAGATCTGCGACCGTCTTTGATCCGGAGATTCCGGATACAGCCATGCGGATGGCGTGCACGATTGCATCAGAGCCCGAGCCCTACGACGTCATGGGGCGAAGGGCAACTTGGCCGTTGCTGCACGGAAGGCAGATTCATGCCGACCACTCGCCAGTACAGCTTGAGGATGGGCAACTGTGCCAATGGATACGACGTCATTATTCGAACTGGATCAAAAGGCGCAAGTCCATACTTTCCCGCATCGATAGTTGATTGTGGTGGGTCTCAAAATCGCTCGCACACTTTTGCACGACGTCTACGCACCCTCATTACCGTGACTGCTACCCTCGACCCCAGCGCCCACATCGTCCTGCGTACGTATCTTTGCCCACACGAGGAGCCACCACACAATTCAATCTTCTTACGTCGTCGATACTTGCCAGTACATGGTGCCTTCGACGACGAATGGTCGAAGTAGTCGTCGCGACACAAGCGTGTCGAGGAAAATTTCGAGCCGCTCGAGCTCGCAATCGGTCATTTTCTCGGAAACTTCGGTGAGCGTCTACACATCCGAATGCATCAGTGCTGACGAGGACAACGTGGAGCGTACGAGGGCTTGGTGGGCATCTTCGCGGAAGAGACTATACAGCGTCGTCATTTGGTACGCCGCGAGACCGCGCTAGCCAATAGCCCATTAGATGACGCGAACGCAGACAATATAGTTGGTACCTGGAAGGCCACGGGAAACAGCGATAGGTCGAACGCCGGGATCGGTTCGTTTGGCGACGCCGCGAACAGGGCATCCATGGCAGGTTGGTACGACGTGTCGGCGCCTGCAATTCGGTTCGAGAGTGGCGTGTGGGGCGTCATGACGCGCAGCTTCGTGCTCAGCAACGGCGAGCCCAGGTGCGGTGACAGGAGCGCGTCCTCGTCGCTCGACTTGGACGGCGTCTTTCGGGGCGTCTTCCGGGGCGTCGAGGTAAGCTCAGCGACGGCGCTGAACCGGCGACGGAGATTTGTCGATGGCGTTGGTGCCCACTGCGGGGATAGCAGCACGTTGTTCACGCCACTTGTGGCCTTGATCGCCGACGACGTAAAGTGACGCTCCGGCGTCGATGGCGTCTTGGCTTCCTCCACCCCGTCGTCGTCATCCCCGTCGAACGGAGTGTGATGCAGCTGCACATGACGCGAGAGCACAGGTATTTCGGGTGACCGCGCGTTTTGGCTCGAGAGGTTACTCGTATCGAGACCGTACCCGGCGCCTGTATATCGCATTGGCGTAGTCGTCGTGAGCTCCACCTGGAGCGACGATGCGGACGCCGATGTGTTCGAATGCGCCGGTCGTGTCGGAGAGCGAGAATACGTCGGCGCTTGGAGCACTTGGATGTTGCTCGAGAGCGTTGGGAGTTCGGGTGTCGGCATGTGGATCTCCGTGAGCGACGGTGCATTCGTCGGGGTCACTGCCGGTGGCTTGCGCATAAAGGGTGTTCGGAGCATGGCGGGGCTCGGGAACGTCCAAGGACAAGTTGCTCTCGCTTAGCGACGATGCTGTCGGTGTTGCTTTCGCAATCTTGTGGCTCGCCTGCTTTTCTTGCTCCAGCACGGTCGTCTTGAGGCGCACCTCTTGTTCGTCAATGTCGTGCATGAGAAACGAGTCGTACTGCTCATCGGCACCGTCCGAGGATGCAACCGTCGACTCGTTGTGTGCACTCGTGTCATGCGCCGAGGCGGCCTCGTGGGCTCGGGTTGGGGCTTTGGCCGTCATCGGGTCCTGCAGCTGGGCAAAGCGTCATGAAGAGAAGGCAGTGGGCGTGCATCTGACGCGTCGT